TAAATGTTTTAGAGAGGGTCTGTTGCTGTGGCACAGCTGATTAAAGCCATCTCCTGTAGCGCCAGCATCCCATTTGGGCACCAGTTTGCCACTTTGCCAGTTCAAGTCCTGGCTGTTCCACTTTCCATCCAGCTCTCTGCTATGGCCTGGGGAAGCAGCAGAAGATGGCCCAAGTGCTTGGGCCCCTGCACCCAAGTGGGAGAGCTGGATGAAGCTCCTTGCTCCTGACTTTCACCTGGCCCAGCCCCAGTCATTGCTGCCTTTTAGGGAATGCACCTTTTATCAGTGGATAAAAGAAAACTCATTTTAAAACTAGGCAGTGGTATTTGTTTTGAAACGTGTCTCCAAATCAAATCTGAAGGTTTTCTCCTTTCACCCACCTGTCCCCTGCTGAAGTCTTCTGTGGTTCTTGGGGTGTAGATGTGAGGAGACTGTGGTCAACCTGGCGTAGACCTTCCTGGTGCTCATCTCCTGTCTTATGAGCATGCAGAAGGCAACACAGGGCAAGCATCTTTTCACCTGAGTTAGCCACAGCATGCAAGGTTTTCCTAGTTGTGTTGTTGAATTATGGGATCTGAGACCTTTCCCAATTAACCCACAAAAGACAGTCACAGATGCAAGGGCAAGAGGATTTATTGTTTTATTGCCAGGAGCTGGGGCTCCCACCACACATACAACATAGGCAGTGGGGAGTGAGAAGCCCCGCCTCTCTCCTTCTCAGCGTTTTTATATGCTTGAGTAAACAAGTACATCTGTCATCACACACATATATTAGTTTCTTATTCTTCATATGTTAATTACCTAAATTTGAGTATTTTATTGGTGCATCTCAGCAGTCCAGGACTATATGTCTCAGAAGGAAGTGGTCACACAAGGAAGTAGGAGACCATTAATTTCAGGAAGTATTTACTAAGTTTCATTTTCTAAGAATTGGGCCTTCCCGTCTTCCTGGAGTTTGTGAAGCCTGTCATGGCGGTACAATTATCCCCCCCCCCCCCACTTTTCTTACTCTGGACATCCGGCATTAAGTCATTGAGCAAGCAGCGCAGTACAGAAGCAAAAAGCAATTGATATTCAGCATCCGCTAGTTCTATATATATATATATTTTTTTTTTTTCTTCATTTCAACAGTGTGTCACTAACAGTGACCAAACTTTGATATCCTCTGTGTCCACGTGGGTGAGATGTGTTTGGAGGGCTCAATGGCTGACTCTGACATGAGGTGTCAGTCTAATTGGAACTTGTTCCTTGAGGATAACTCTTTGTTCTAGCCCCATTTGCTGAATAGACAATGATCCTTTCCCACTGATGGGTATTACTGCCTCCCACCAACCCAATGGAAATTCCCCGTGGAAATTTAGATTGCTGCCTCTCTTGTCTAGTTATTTTTTAAAAATTAATTTATTTGAAAGGCAGAGTTAGAGAGAGACAGAGATCTTCCATCAGCTTGTTCACTTCCCAGATGGCCACGATGTCTGGGGCTGAGACTTGGGCAAACTGAAGCTGGGAGCCCGGAGCTTCATCTGAGTCTCCCATGTGGGTAGCAGGGGCCCAAGCACCTGGGCCACCCTCCCCTGCCTTTCCCAGGCCGTTAGCAGGGAGCTGGATTGGAAGTGAAGCAGCTGGGACTCCAAGTGGCACCCATATGGGATGCCGGTGTCACAGGCAGCAGCTTAACCCGCTATGCCACAGTGCCAGCTCCTCTTGTTTCTTTTTTCTCCCTGATTTAACGGCCAGGAGGAAGCCAGAAAGTCTGCCAGAGTAGACACTCAATTGAGTACAGCATGCAGGGCTTCCTTTCTTTCAGATACTCTCATCTTTTATGAGTGACCACCTTAGATTCTCTTATTCTTTTCTTTACCAGGATGGAGAGCAAAGGGAGGGAATTGCCCCTCTTCCTGTAAGGCCCAGGATCCCTTCCATTTCCTTGTAGGGGTGGGAGGAAGTGGGTGGTCAGCTCAGTTCTGGTCTGATGATCTCAGTAAACCCTGAGGGGAAGTGGCCATTTCCAGCTGCTAATGGCAACTTGATCTTATTCCATAGGTAAGTAGCATGCTTTGTCATTGGGTTAGGGCTTATCAGAAATCCCAGAAGGATTGGAAAAATCCCTGTTAGATTTCCATCACTGTAAAGAACTACTAGAGGCAGGGTACTTTCTAAAGAAAAGAAGCTTATTGTAGCTCACATTTCTGGAGGTGCCAGGTTTGGGGGCCTTGTCTGGCAGTGGCCTTCTTGCTAAGAGTCTTGAGGCAGTGCAAAACAAATCACATGGCAAGAGACAGGAAGGTGAGTGCATCTGTCTGTCTTGTATTCTCTCTCTCACTCCCCCTCTCTCCTTATAAAGCCACCAAGAGTCAATTCTGATCTAATCTAAGTCAAATTTCCACCTTTGGGAACTAAACTGCTGAGTTTAGGGGAGGGACAGATATTCAAACCATAGCAATTTCTCTTACATTAGGTTACATTTCATTGCTATCCTTTATTGTATTAAAGTTTAAAAATTATATGAATATAGATTTATCAGTCTCCTCATGGCTTGTCCTTTTACATATTCAATATTGACCTTTTTCTTTAATATTATTTAATCCAATTGGCTCTCTTTTTTGGTGCATGGTGTGAGGTTGACATCTAATTTTAACTTTCCCATAAAGTTAGCCCATTGTTTGAGCTTTATTTATTGAATAGTCTCCCCCACCCCCGATTTATATTACTAACTTTCAAACTGGTTTAACTAATATGCATAGCTTTGTATTTTCTTTCTAAAGGAATCTGTCTTCACTGTCCCCTTTATTTGATAAGATCTCTGCTGTGTTTACCCATCTGTGCAGATAAGAAATTTCACTGATCTAGGGACTGCATTCAGTGCTGTGTCCCTGGCAGCTAATACAGTCCCTGACACGGGATTGGCTCTCAGTAAATATTTGCTGAATGAGTGAATGAGTCCAGTTTAAGAGCCACCCATCTGTGAATCTGTCTTGAGGTCCAGATTCCACACAACTCAACAGGTTTTATGGTTTAACTAGTAAAATGCACTTTTCCTACTCAATAGGGGTCTCTCCTGTTGTTATTTTCTAAAACAGATTTTGAATCGTCCTATATTCTTCTATTTCACTTGTCCTTGGCATCTAGTGGGACAACTAAGGTTATAATTTCTACTTCCTTAAAACTAAGGTGTATATTCTGTTCTTACTGTACTTGATTTCTCATTCAGGCCCTTTTCCCCCTTTCCTTTATTATATTTTAAATGTGATATTTTATACATGCACAAGAATGTATGGTACACGTAATAAACTATGAAGCATGAGCAGATGCACACCTATGAAACCACCACTTTACCTGACAAAGATAACATTGCTTATTGCTGTTTTCTACTTACATGTTATGCTCTGTCACATCCCTGTGCCTTCACTGAAGAGGAAATCACTGTCCTGAAGTGGGGATTTCTTATCCTCTTGTTACGGCATTCTTTTCAAATATATTTATTACATAAGTAGATAATCCTAAAAATGTATCACACAGATGTATTTGTCGTTGAGCTTCATAAGAATAGTGTCATACTCCATGCAGTCTTCTGCAACTGGAATTTTTCAATCAGCATGGTGCTTCTAAGGCTCATCCACACTGTGTCTGTGGCTGTGGTTCATTAATTTTGTTAATGAACAAATGACATTACACTGTGTGCTCTACTACAATTTTTGGTCTATTCTTGTGTTGGTGTGTGTTTAGATTGTTTCCAGTTTTTGCTCTTTGGAATAGGGTTGCTGTAAGTATCACTGTTATGTTTCTGGGTTTATGTGTGCAAAGCTTCTCTAGGTTCTATACCAAAGGATGGGCTTTTGAAGAAAGGGTTTGCATATGTTCAACTTGAAAAGATAATAACAAATTATATTCAAAGTGATCGGTCTACTTATACTCATGCCAGTGAAGTATGAACATTCTCATTGATTCATATACTCTCCAACACTTGGCATTATCAAATTTATTTTCCCTTTATGAGAGGCAAATTTTTATCTGCTTTTAGTCATAATTTGTATTTCCACAAGCAAAAAGCTTCCTAAACTTATTGAGCATTCACATTTTTGCTTCAGGGAAATGACTCTTTTGTCCATTTTAAAATTTGGTTCAGGTCTTGTCATTCAAGTAAAGTTCTTTATATATTTGGATCCAAATTATTTGTCAGTTATAATTATTTACAGCATTTTCTCACAGTTTGTAGCTTGCATTGTTACTTCCTTTATGATATTTTAAAAATTTGATTGAAATTGAATTTATTAGTATTTTGTATTATGATTAAAATTTATTTTGTTTTTTTAAAAAAATCTAGCTTTACCTTGAAATATATTCCCTTATATTTCCTTTTAAAGGATTCAGAAACTTTGTCTTTCATACTTAAAAGGCATGTGGAACTAATTTTTTATTCATGGTATATGAGATAGGGTTCCAGTTTAATTTTTTCCATATGTATAAATAATTTCCTGTAGGATAATTCTCCTGTCAGAGCATTTATTTAGATTGAAAAAGAGTCACTCTCTGGTATTTATACAGAACTTAAAGATACTAGAAAGATATACACAAAAAAAGTTAATATCTTTAGATAGATATTGTAGTTATCAATGGTTTTATTCCTTTTGTTCTCTATATCTCCAAATTCTCTGTATTCGTATTTGCTTTTAAATGGAAAACAATAAGGTAGGTTGTGTGCATAGGTCATAATGTAGGGTCAGTGTGCCTTAAAGAAAGTTGAAATGTTCCAGCTTAACTTTGTTTTGAAAGCTTCTATTCCTGGGGTGGGGAGAAGAGGCTGTTTGTGGATTATGCAATGTCTCAGCAGGTGAAAAAGATTAAGTTTTAAATCCTGGGTAATTCTCCTGTAAATAGTGACATACAATTCTTCTCCCCTAAGTTGTTTGTTTTACAGGTATTTAAGGTTCTTTGGAGAATGAGATTCAGGGTCCTTATGTGTATCATTGGTGATATGACCATTTCTTTTTGCCCAACAGCAGATAATGAAAAGACTTATAAAACGATATGTTTTGAAAGCACAAGTAGACAAAGAAAATGATGAAGTTAATGAAGGTAAGCATCTCCAAGATGAGAAATGTCCTTTAGTAATGAACTTAATGATCTTGGAAAACATCATATTGAAGCATACTTTAAAAACTCAATCTCTTGGTTGGAGCCAGCATTGTGGCCTACCGGGTTAGGCTGCCACCTGCAATACTGGCATTCCGTATGGGTGCTGGTTCAAATCCCTGCTGCTCTATTTCCAATCCAGCTCCCTGCTAATGGCCTGGTAAAAGCAGCAGAAGATGGCCCAAGTACTTGGGCTCCTGCCACCTACTTGGGAGACCTGGATGTAGCTCCTGGTTCCTGGCTCCTGGCTTTGGCCTGGCCCAGCCCTGACCATTGTGGCCATTTGGGGAATGAATCAGAGGATGGAAGATCTCTCTCTGTCTCTCCCTCTCTCTGTGTAACTCTGCTTTTCAAATAAATGATTTTTTTTTTGACAGGCAGAGTGGATAGTGAGAGAGAGACAGAGAGAAAGGTCTTCCTTTTGCTGTTGGTTCACCCTCCAATGGCCGCCACGGCTGGCGTGCTGTGGCCGGCACACCGCGCTGATCCGAAGGCAGGAGCCAGGTGCTTCTTCTGGTCTACCATGTGGGTGCAGGCCCCAAGGACTTGGGCCATCCTCCACTGCCTTCCTGGGCTATAGCAGAGAGCTGGCCTGGAAGAGGGGCAACTGGAACAGAATCCGGCACCCCGTCGGGCACTAGAACCCGGTGTGCTGGTGCCGCTAGGTGGAGGATTATCCTATTGAGCCGCGGCGCCGGCCAATAAATTAGTTCTTAAAAAAAAAAAAAAAAAAAAACAACAAAAACAAAACCACCCAATCTCAGTTTGCCATTAGGGTTCCTAAGATTGACAGCAGAATATTATGGTACATTTTGAAAATTCCATCTTTCTAAAGAAACAGTTATTAAAAATGTTGATCAGAGGAAATTTATCTTAGAGTTCTCCAACTGATGCTTAGAATGTAAAGGCTGCCATGTTTTTAGGGTTTTTAAATCCTTACATAGGTAGTCAGTAGTAATCAGTTTTTTTAGTGACTTTGTGTTAGTGTGAACATCTTTCCAGTGACATAGGTAAAAGAACACTTGATTCAGAATTCACAGTCTCCAGAAGACCCTCTGCTTGGTGTCCAGATACAAATACTCAAACTGTTTTTGAATGTGACTCTTCTCCATGGCTCGTCATCCAAGCATGCCTATTATTCAAGGCAGATCCGAGGCAGGGCATCTATGTGGACTACAAAAGTTTTTTCATTGAAGACTGAAGGGTAGAGCCAAAGTTCAGTCCCAGAGTTGGAAAGAAATCAACTTGGGAGCAATACGTTGTCCTAAAAATGGAAACTGTTCCAATGAGATGCCATCAGATCTGTCTGACTGGCGAGAGAAGGGCTAAATTTTTGCGGTAAAATTGTTGATGAGCTTTTTTTCTTCTTAAGATTTATTTATTTATTTGACAGCCAGAATGACTGAAAGAGAGACTGAGACAGAGAGAAAGAAACCTTCCATTTGCTGGTTCACTCCCCAAATAGCAACCATGGCCCAGCCTGCCCCAGGCTGGGCCAGGCTGAAGGCAGGAGCTTGGAACTCCATCTGGGTCTCTCACATGTGTGGCAGGAGTCCAAGCACTTAAGCCATCTTCCACTGTTTGCCCAGGCTCATTAACAGGGAGCTGGATCAGAAGTGGAGCACCCCCTCCCAAAAAAAAAGTGAAGCAGCTAGGACTTGAACCAGCACTCCTACAGGATGCTGGCATTGCAGGTGGTGGCCTAACCTGCTGCACCACAATGCTGGCCCTTATGTGTATGCTTGAGGGATACTTAAAATTACTTAAAATTAAAAGGTTCTGCTTTCTATATAGTAGAACAAAGAAATTGTACTTTAATGCATCATAAAGATACAGGAAATGTCCTTAAAGATGCCTTTTGCATTCTATTATACTATGAAAAGCTAAGTCAAAGTACCAATGAGTTAAAGAATAATTTCTGAGATTTAAGATAATTTCCTGCCCAACTTTATTTTCAAGGTCATTAGCTTATCTGCATTACAGTCCCTCACAAGAGAATCCAGTTTTAATTGCAATCTAACTATGCTCAAAATACTGCCAGACTGAATTATGGGTGCATTTGTGTTTCAATAGGCAAAGCTCCCCTGTTCTCTCCAGAGAGTATGGAGTGTGTGCATGGCCAGAAGGTTCACATATACACCCCCTAGTGTCACTGTTGTGTGTTATTTCCTTATGCACCGATTCTCTGTGTCACACAAACCATGTGTTCCTTGACCCCATATTCGTTATTATTGCCTTCCTAATAAACACCCCTAATCTTTCTCCTTTCCTTTCCTCCCTTCAATATTTACTTCCTCTGTGTGGGTAGTGCCTGTAAAATAGACTGATTTGATTTTTGATGTAGTTTAGTTTTGCTGGGATTCCCTTTGAGCCTAGTAACAGGGGGAGCTCGATGAAGGTGTCAAACCCTATGCTTGAAGGAGACAAGGGTACTCCTTATAGACAGAAAGGAGATACCTTGGTTGTAGAGCAGTTATCAGAGACTCATGCTGTGTGAACAGTTGAGTGAGCCAAAGGATACTACTTAATGCTGAATTTTATTATTAAAAATATAGTTGGACTATATGTAAAACATTTTAAAGGAAAGAAATTGAAAATGGGCCGGTGCCGTGGCTCAATAGGCTAATCCTCCACCTTGCGGCGCCGGCACACCGGGTTCTAGTCCCGGTCGGGGCGCCGGATTCTGTCCCGGTTGCCCCTCTTCCAGGCCAGCTCTCTGCTATGGCCAGGGAGTGCAGTGGAGGATGGCCCAGGTGCTTGGGCCCTGCACCCCATGGGAGACCAGGAAAAGCACCTGGATCCTGGCTCCTGCCATCGGATCAGCGCGGTGCGCCGGCTGCAGCGGCGGTCATTGGAGGGTGAACCAACGGCAAAGGAAGACCTTTCTCTCTCTGTCTCTCTCTCTCACTGTCCACTCTGCCTGTCAAAAAAAAAAAAAAATTGTAAAAAAAAAAAAAAAAGAAATTGAAAATGTTAACTTGGAGACTTTTTGAAATAACTGTATTCATATATATGAATTTCACTGTTTTCTAAGTCCAAAGAGCAAATTATCAACTAAATATGTTTATTTTTAATACAAATACTCTAGGTGAATTGAAAGAAATCAAGCAAGATATCTCCAGCCTGCGTTATGAACTTTTGGAAGACAAGAGCCAAGCAACTGAGGAATTAGCCATTCTCATTCATAAACTCAGTGAGAAACTGAATCCCAGCATGCTGAGATGTGAATGATGCACCCACCTGGAATCATGGCTTTGACTATAGCACAAATGTTGGCAATAATATTTCTAAGTATGAAATACTTGAAAAACGATGGTGTAAAGTTTTAGCGTTAACTACCTTTATCATGTGAATCTTTAAAAGTTAGGTCTTAATGATTTTCTTGTTTTATCACATGAAAATGCATTTAATTGTCTGCCTTGACATTGCAAACAATGCCATACCATTGTATTTAAAAGCCCAATATTGCCTACATCTCTGATGTTTTTGTTCATTTTAGATATCATGTAATTCTTTGCACTACCTGTTTGCCTCCAAGAGACTATAAAGTCCTTGGGACAGGGACCATGTCTTATTCATCTTTGTGTCTCCAGCATCTAGGACAGTGCCTGGTACATAGTAGGTGCTCAATAAATGTTGTTGAAACCAACTGAACTGCCAATAAAATATAAATAAAAATAAAGAGTCATCACTATGTAGCATATCTTCCCTTGTCCAAGTGCTGAAAGATTTTTTTTTTTAATATAGAAACTGAAGAAATTTTACAACCAGCCACAACTAGGTGAGATTTTCTTGGAATTTTAGCATCAATGATAATCCTAGAACCAATGAGCCAAGTAAAGAATTTAACAAGAAATGAATTAGAAAATATAATGACATATTTAAGTTTCATAGAATTATTCAAAACAACACATTAAAATTTTTTCTAAAATATATACTGTTTGCTTTCTGTGTTAGACTTCCATTTGTTGTTTTGTTGTTTTTGAGTAATGTAAATTTTGTCAGTGGGTGGTGAGGGTTTTTTTAAGTTGGGTGTTATGCAAAGTTGTATTCTGTAATAACCTCCTAACATCTGCCTCTGATATTTTAATAAACAAAATAAGAGAAAAGACTGACTTCATATCTTGCCCATTAGTTTTGGGCAAGAGTTTTGAGGATTTGCTCATGGGAAGAAGTAGAAAAGAGCAGTGACTGTCTAGAAAGACATGGCCAGGCAACACCAGGTCTGTTCTGCTTCCTTTTGAGGCCTCTCTCGCCATCATCAAAGATAATTACTGACATCTTTTTTCTTATAAAAGGGTTCCAATTCCACTTTCTGCACAGAGTGGTCTGTACTGTGTCTGAATTTGACTGACTACATGACTGAACTGAATACTGGTAACTACAACACCTCATGATGTTAATAGGAAAGGACTTTAACACTGTAAAGAGCTTTAGCAGTCTTAAAAACCGTGATACTTCAAAATAGTTAGGTTCACACCAGGAAGGCTTTCCAGATATTTCAAAGGTAAAATTGAATGTTAAATGGAACTACATAAAGTTCTTTAAAAATTACTTCTGAATCTCTAATTTTTTGAGAGTCAAAAATTTAAAACTTTATACATCTTTTGCTACCATTATAAAATATTTCATTAGCTTTTGTGCTATGCTAATACTATTTGAAACACTTTTCAAATTTAATGTATTTCATGTTATGCCTCTGAACTGAATAAAATATTGAATTTTTCCATTGTTATGTTACTATACTTTCTATTAAAATGGTGAAGATATGAAGTTTCTGTAATAGATGATACTTTGAGTTTTGTAGTATAGTTTAGGATTCCATGTGTGGGAGTTTTTGCTTGTAGCTAGGGAACAGAATAAGTAATTTTCATATTTGAGGTTGGAAAAAATGCTCAGTGAAAAAGTGGCAGATTTGAGTGGGGACAATTAGCCAGAGATCCTTGGAATTTGGAGATCAGAGAGGTATGAAGATGAAATTTATGGCATCCACACCATGGGTGTACATAGGTGGCTTTTTTTTTTTTTTTTTTTTTTTTTGGTCCATGCCTCCCACAACTGTAGCGCTGTTAACACAGGGGTTTTATTTACTAAACTATATGCAGCTGACATATTTGAGATATTTCACCTTTCTTCTTCTCCACGGTTTCCAGATAATAGGAAGAAAGATATAACAAAGTGTAGTAGGTGCCGTTGATGATACTGATGGTCTGCCCAGCTCCCTTCTACTGGGCCAATGCACCTGTTGTCTCCCAGCTACTCCTCAGCAGCTAATCACTTCCCCGGGGAGTTGCCCTCAACTGAAAGGAAAAGAAGCAAACTTGTCTTGGGTTCTACACCTCCTGCTCCCCAGAGCCAGTCAGACTGGGGTAGGGCATAAAAAACTGCCACCCTCCCCCTTCTTTTTTAAGATTATTTATTTGAAAGAGTTAGAGAGAGGGAGAGGAAGAGAGAGGGTTTCCAGCTCCTGGTCCAGCCCCATGTGGCAACAATGGTGAGGGCTGGGCCAGGCTGAAGCCAGCAGCCAGGAGCTTCTTCCAGATCTCCCACGTGGTTGCCAGGGCCCACACACTTGGGCCATCCTCCACTGCTTTCCCAGATACATTAGCAGGGAACTGGATAGGAAGTATAGCAGGTGGGGCTCGAACCTGCACTCCTATGGAATGCTGACATCACTGGTGGTGGCTTAACACTCCGTGCTGCAATCCCAGCCCAAAGCTGGTTCCCTTGACTCAAGGCTGAGCCAACCTTTCCATGTAATTCCTGCTTTAGAGCCCATGAAAGCATTAGGCTGAGGCCAGATTCAGGCTGAAATGGTATCTCTGTTGCTTCATTCCCCACCTTTTCCTGCTCTCCTTCTCTTTTTCCTGAGGGCATTCCTTCAATGAATCACTGCATTCAAATCTTGTTAGTTGTTGTTAAGTGGTAAGGCATTAATGTGGCACCATAGGGCAAGGTGAGGCTTAATACTTTTAAGATTAAAGATAGCTCAGGGTCAGCAAGTCCTTGCTTTACTCATTGTAACAGGTCTGTCGGGAAAGCAGAGCTCAGAGAAGGTGGGACAGCATGGAGAAGGGAGCATTTTAACAGGACCAAAGCACCTTACCTAGAAAAGGATGTCAAGGTGCTTCCAGTTAATTAGAAGATTGTCAAAGCCCTGTGATTTTTCTTTCCTTGTACAGAGATGTACTTTTTGGCTGTTTGCTATTCTCACTTCTTTTCTCTGTTACAGATAAGGTAAAGGAACAAGTTTGGCACTTTATAAAGTGCCTGCTGCATTACACTTACTGAGTACTCTTGCTTTTATGTAATTCATGGTCTGTTGAAAAGCTTGGATTCATAGACTCAAAATAAAAGTGGGTACTGTGAAAAGTGGTATCCAGTGTCTTCAAAGAGTTCTGTGCACTCTAAGAACTTAGAAATGGCCTAAGTATGTTGTGGTTATTACAAGAAAACTAGTTCAATTTAGGATAACTGAATTGTCCAACCATCGCCAATATTTTTATATTCCAAATGTGTCAGTCAAATAAAAGCAGTTTTTATAAACAGGAAGGTAAATTGCCTGATGGAATTGCTACAGAGAACTGAAGCTATAGTAATGAATTGTGGCCTGGGACAATTCACTTCACTTCTCCTGTCTTCCTAACTAGTTAAGTCCAACAGGTTGGGAACCCTACATGCAGGGTTCCTGGTTTCTGGGTCAGGGGTGGGAGGTCATAGAGGTGGTTCAGGGAGTTGATACCATCATTCAAGATGGTAATGATTGGCATTACTGTCTCTATTTTTTTTAAAAAAACAGATCAACCAGCTGGCGCCGCGGCTCAATAGGCTAATCCTCCGCCTGTGACACCGGCACCCCGGGTTCTAGTCCCAGTTGGGGCACTGGATTCTGTCTTGGTTGCTCCTCTTCCAGTCCAGCTCTCTGCTGTGGCCCGGGAGTGCAGTGGAGGATGCCCCAAGTCCTTGGGGCCTGCACCCACATGGTAGACCAGGAGAAGCACCTGGCTCCTGGCTTCGGATCAGCGCGGTGCAGTGGCCACAGTGGCCATTGGGGGGTGGGTGAACTGGCGGAAAAAAGGAAGACCTTTCTCTCTGTCTCTCTCTCTCACTGTGCACTCTGCCTATCAAAAAAAAAAAATCCACCTTATATGGGCTTCTATAAATTATTTTCCTTTAAAACAAGAGTTTCAGAGTTTCCAAATTTGTTCTATGTGTTAATGAAAACTAGTGTGTATGCTTATGACTCAGACACTCAGCAGATCACCACTATGTTGATAGTTTTGACTTAAATGCAATTTAAATTGCTTTTTTTTTTAAGAGATATTTTTGTTTTTATTTATTTGAAAGGCAGAGTTACAGAGAGAGGTAGAGAAAGAGAGAGAGAGAGAGGTCTTCCATCCATTGGTTCATTTCCCAAATGGCTGCAGTGACTGGCACTGAGTCAGGTCAAAGCCAGGAGCCAGGAGTTTCCTCTGTCTCCTACGTGGGTGCAGAGGACAAAGCGCTTAGGCTGTCCTCCACTGCTTTCCAAGGCCATTAGTAGGGAAGTGGAACAGGTGGGACTCGAATCGGCGCCCATATGGGATGCTGGCACTGCAAGGGTTTAACCCGTTGTACAACAGTGCTAGCCCCTTAAATTGCTTGTATTTTTAATCATTTTAATTTTTTACTCATATTTATGGCTTTAATACCACAACACAAGGCTATAGATTAATGAGGTGCATACAAAATTCTGCAACTTTATCTCAAGGTGATCTTTATCATGGCCAAGAAGAAATCATCTGTTGGTTTTCAGGTAAAACACCAAGTTGTCTCTAGGACCTTAAAGCATGTTTACAAAGAAAATATACAGTGGCCATTTTGTATAACTTGGCATTCCTGTATTATGAATGAAAACTTCCCACCTGATGATTTTTTGAGACATGTTTAACATTAGTAGTTTGAAACCTTTGCTGATCTTTTAGAACCAAGACAGAACATACAGAATAAAGTACTTGTTTTTTTATATGAAAAATGACAAAATTTCAAATATCATTTTGCAAACTCTTTTAATCTATTTTTGAGGCAATGTCATGGCCTTATTTTAGTGTTTCAAAATAATGTGATTTCAAAATAAATTCTTTTGCACAATTAATTTAAACAGTGGGCATCACTTGTTAAATAGAAACTAAGAATTGCCAGTATTTGTCTTTGTTACAAACATTGTAAAGATCACATAAAGATGAATTTCATAATACTATCTTAAATACTATAGCAATTTAAAGTAAAACAGCTTTTCTTTAAAAATTACCTTTCAATCATATAAAATGAAAAATGAGACAATTATTAAAACCCCTAAGGACTTCTAAAGATTATATAGTACTTGGAAATATTATACAGTGGCATGAAGGGCTGTTGTTGTGGCATAGTGGGTAAGGCTGCCACCTTTGACTCTGGAGTCACATATGGGCACCAGTTTGTGTTCTGGCTCTCCACTTTTGATCCAGCTCCCTGTGAATGCACCCGGGAAAATGCCGAAGATGGCCCACGTGCTTGAGCCCCAGCACCTATGTGAAAGACCTGGATGAAGTTCCTGGCCCAGCCCTGGCCATTGCAGCTATCTGGGGAGTGAACCAGTGGATGGAAGATCCCTCTCTCTGTCTCTCCCTCTCTCTTTGTGACTTACAAATAAATAAGTAAATCTTAAAAAAGAAAAAATAAAGTGCCATGAAAGGGGTTTGTGAATCCAAGTGGGAAAACATTGACGGTTCCTAAAATCTGATCCAGCCGTAGAATACGCTTCATATTCCCCTCAAAAGGTTGTTTTCTAAAAAATAATTTCCACTTAATCCAGCTTTTGTTATTTTGATTGTTTGTTAAAATGAAAATAAAAAAGTAGTAAAAATGATATCCATACCACTTTCCCTAAGTTGTTAGCATGCATTGTCAGGGCCTGAGAAGGGACACAGAAAAATCATCCATGGGAGGAGCTGGTGCCCGCTGACATAGCCCAGCCTTTATCAGTACCTTGCAATCCGAAGCCAGGAGCCAGGAGCCAGGAGCCTCTTCCAGGTCTCCCACGAAAGGGCAGGGACCCAAGGATTCGGCCATCTTCTACTGCTTTCCCAGGCCATAGCAGAGAGCTGGATTGGAAGTAGAACAGCCGGGTCTCAAACCAGCACCCATATGGGATGCTGGTGCTTCAGGCCAGGGCATTAACCCACTGAGCCACAACACCGGCCCCAAACAATTTTTGATGCATTTCTTAATACCCCTTTCACATAATTGTAATCATATAATCCCCTGCTTTATGTCCTCTTTGGCTATTTTCTGAATGCTTTCTAAATTGTTATATAGTCTTCATTGTATTCCCTTTCAATGGCTATGTAATAGTCCACAAAGTGGATGGATCCACCATTTCCTATTTTTGGACAGTTAGGTCCCTATTTTAAATAATGCTTCAAATGACCTCTTACCTACTTTATCTTGTTTCCATAGACTAAGTATTCCCATCGGGACTACAGGGTGAAAATATAGCCAGACATTCATAGGTATGGATACATATGGCTAAGCTGCTTTTGAAAAGCATCTTATTATGGTTTAAAATATCACAGTTGAGCACAAGTTTCCTTTACACAATATTGTGTCATCATTTACATTTTTTCTAATTTGAAAGGCAAAATAAAAAGTATTATGCTTTAATATTACTGATTACAAGGTAATAGATTTCAATGATTATTCAATATCTATTTTCTTTATGAATTATGTATGTTTTGTATTTGTTATTGGAATTACTGTATTTCTTTTAATCATTAATTTCTATAAAGTTTTCAAAGGTTAATTCTTTGCACATATTTTTCCCCTTTTGGCTTACCTTTAGACATCTTTGTGACACATCCAAATGTGTAATCTTCCTTTTTATGTCTCTTCTTTCCTCTTTAATTTCTTCTGACCTTTTGAGATCAGACGGTTCCCTTCTGCTGTGGGCTGAACTGTGTGACCCAGCACAGATGCTGAAGTTCTAACCTGGAGTATCTCAGATGTAGCTGGAGACAGTCTCTAAAGAGGTAAAGGATTTAAAATGAAGTCATTAGATTGGACCCCAATCCAATATGACTGATGTCCACATAAAAAGAGGAGGAGATGAGACACAGATACAGGCAGAAGACCATGTGAGGATGCAGGGAGAATTTGACAACTTTCCAAAACAGATTTTTCTGAAAGATCTATATAGGAACACAGTTCCCATTAAATACATGAGGAGACTTCAAAAAGTTAAAGGAGAGGCTGGTGCTGTGGCATAGTGAGTAAAGCTGCAGCCTATGGCACCCAGCTCCCCTGTTGCAGCCATTTGGGGAGTGAACCAGTGAATGGAAGATATCTCTGTCTGCCTCTTCATCTCTCTAACTCTGCCTTTCAAATAAATTAAAAAAATCTTAAAAAACAGTTAACAGGGGCTGGCGCTGTGGTGTAGCAGGTAAAGCTGCCGCTTGCCATGCCTTATATCGCATCCCATATGGGTGCCAGTTCAAGTTCCTGCTGCTCCACTTCCGATCCAGGTCTCTGCTTGTGGCCTGGGAAAGCAGTGGAAGATGGCCCAAGTGCTTGGGCCCCTGCACCAGCATGGGAGACCCAGAAGAAGCTCCTGGCTCCTGGCTTCGAAATGGTACAGCTCCGGTCATTGTGGCCAACTGGGGAGTGAACCAGCAGATGGAAGACCTCTCTCTCTGTGCCTCTCCATCTCTCTGTGTGTAACTCTGACTTTCAAATTAAATAAATAAATCTAAAAAAAAAAAACAGTTAACAGAAAACAGAATTAAAAGGTAAAAATATAACCTGTAGTTCTCAACATAAGCTCCATCAAGTTCAAGCTACTTTTGTAAGCAATATTACAGCCATTTAGTTCCACCTGAAAGAATGGAGGGTCCTGGAAGTTTAATCATGTCAAAGCAATCTTTTTTATTACTATTATTAACTGAAGGAAATGGGTACCCTTTAAAGATATATTTTAAAGATTTATTTACTTATTTGAAAGAGTTACATAGAATGTGAGGCGGAGGCAGAGGCAGAGAGAGAAAAAAAAGAGAAAGGGAGAGAGAGCTTCCATCCACTGGTTTACTCTCCAAATGGCCACAGTGGCTGGGGCTGGATCAGGCTGAAGCCAGAAGCCAGGAGCTTCATCCAGGTCTTCTGTGTGTGTGCAGGAGCCTAAGGATTTGGGCCATCTTCTGCTTTCCCAGATACATTAGCAGGGAGCTGGATCAGAAGTGGAGCAGCTGGGACCTGAACTGGCACCCATATGGGATGCTGGTCCTGCAGGTAGCAACTTTACTGGCTACACCATAGTGCCAGTACATATATATATATACACACACACACACACACACACACATATATATATATATATATATTTAGATTAGGAAATAAAAAGAAGTCAAAAGGATCCAAGTCAAGAATGTGAGGTGGATTCCTAATTATTTCCCATTAACAACTCAGAAAAATTGTTTGATGAAAGGAATAAGTAGGAACATTGTTCTGATAGATTTCTCTGGTGAAGCTTTTCTGAGCTAAACAAAAAGAAGTTTATGCTAAACTTTGGTTAGCTTTATCAGAACACTCTGTTAATAAGTATTCATTTTTTGGTCTTCCAAGAAGCCAACAAACAAAATTCCTTGAGCTTCCCAAAAAATTGTTCCCATGATTTTGCTCATCACCAGTCCACTTTTGCTGTTATTGGACTACTTTCACCTCATCCTGGTAGCCATTGCTTTGATTTTGCTTTGTCTTCAGGATTGTACTGGTAAAACAATGCTTCAACTCTTGGTCTAGTTCTTTGAAGAAATCTTTTATTTTAAAAGCTCTGCTCTTGACTGCAGCTGATCTAGATATAACAGTTTGGCCACTTGTTCATCAGAATGTTTGCTGCAGTTTAATTTTTAGCCAGGACTCAATAAGCTGAACCAGTTGAGGATCTATTATGTTGGCTACAATTTCTGATGTTAATTGTTAATCTTCTTCAATTTGGGCACCAACAAGATTAATTTTTCATCCCATATTGAATGGTCTGCTAGGTGTTTCATATTCAGTGTTATCTGGTCCCTTCTTAAATTATCCATTTGCAGATTGTTGATTTCTTTGTGGCATTGTTCCCATACATTTTTGTAAAACAACGATTTCACCATTCTTCCACATGAGCTTCATCATAAATTTGATGTTTTTGCTTTAGTTTAGCAGAATTCATTTTTCTGTGATAGAAGATCCTTTTTTTTTTTATTTGACAGAGTTAGACAGTGAGAGAGAGACAGAGAGAAAGGTCTTCCTTCCGTTGGTTCACTCCCCAAATTCACTCCCCAAATGGCCTCCATGGCCGGCACTGTGCTGAAGAGGATCCTTTCTAACTGGATCCTATTCAGACAATTTATAAAAGGTTTATTTTGAAGCAAAATATGAAATCTATGCATAATGTTTTTGTAACATGCATTTTCCATGAACTTTTTGAGGGTCCCTCAACTGTACATGCACACATAGAAACATAGACACATGTATATTAGGTAAAAGGTAATTGTTTCTGTAATATCTTTTGTCTGCTTGATTATCTGTCTCTGAGAAAAAAGTGCTAAAATTTCGCTCTATGTTTATTTCAAAATAATCCACTGGCCATGTGTTAGTAATTGTTGAATGATGTTTTGTGTACTTATTCATTTGCTCAACATTTCCCATTAAAAAGGTTTTAGAGATTATTAAGCAGTTTGATCACAACCTTATTTGATAGTCTGCACCCACATGGGAGACCAGGAGGAAGCACCTAGCTTCTGGCTTTGGATCGGCGTAGCGCCGGCCATAGTGGCCATTTGGGGGGTGAACCAACGGAAGGAAGACCTTTCTATCTCTCTCTCTCACTGTCTATAACTCTACCTGTCAAGTAATAAATAAATACATTCAAGAAAAGTTAATTTTGGTGCAGAAAGTTTTGAAATCCATGCATAATTTTCTCATAATATACATTTTTCATGAACTCGCATATGCATAAATTTCAAAAAATTTGCACTGAAATAAATGTTATTTTCTAATTCTATTTTCCGTGAATTTGAAGTTGCCAATAACTTTCATATTGATTCTTCATAGTTTTCTCTTTTAGCCCTTTCTTACTCTTCAGAGGAATAGTTTTAAAGATTTTTTTAAATTATTATTATTTGAGAGGTAGAGTTACAGACAGAGAGGGAGAGACAGAGAGGTCTTTCACCTGCTGGTTCACTCCCCAGATGGCTGCGATGGCCATAGTTGAGCTGATCTGAAGCCAGGAGCCAGGAACTTCATTCTGGATCTTCCATGTGGGTGCAGGGCCCAAGCACTTGAGCCGTCTTCCACTGCTTTGCCAGGACACAAGCAGAGAGCTGGATCATAAAGAAGAGCATCTGGGACATGAAGCAGTGCCCATATGGGATGCTGGTGCTGCAGACAGAGGCTTAACCTACTATGCCACAGCTCTGGCTCCATGGAGGGTTAGTTTTTGTGGGAGTTGTTTTCATAGATATTCTTACCTCTCTACTTTTTTTTTTTTTTTTTAAGATTTATTTATTTATTTGAAAGGCAAAGTTACAGAGAGGCAGAGGCAGAGAGACAGGTCTTCCATCTGCTGGGGCCCAAGGACTTGGACCCTCTTCCACCACTTTTCCAGGCCATGGCAGAGAGCTAGATGGGAAGTAGAGTAGCCAAGGGACTGGTGCTGTGGTGTAGTGGATAAGGTTGCTGTTTACAGTGCCAGCATCCCACATGGGTGCCGGTTCAAGTCCTGGCTACTCTACATCCGATACAGCTCTCTGCTATGGCCTGGGAAAGCAGTAGAAGATGGCCCAAGTCCTTGGGCCCCTGCACCCATGTGGGAGACCCGGAAGAAGCTCCTGGCTCCTGGTTTTGGATTGGTGCAGCTCTGGCCATTGCAGCCAAATGGGGAGTGAACCAGTGGATGGAAGACCTCTCTCTCTCTCTCTCTGCCTCTCCTTCTCTCTCTGTTTAACTCTGACTTTCAAATAGATAAATAAATCTATAAAAAAAAAAAGAAAGGAAGTCAAGCAGCCGAGACTCAAACTGATAGTGCCCATATGGGATGCTGGCATTGCAGGTAGCGGCTTTACCCACTATAACAGAGCACCAGCTTCTGATCTATTTTTAAAGTCATAATTTATTTATTGAGAATCTTGCTTTTCTCATAAAGGACATAGTTATAATAATTTTGGATTCTCTTCAATCTATTACAGGTGGTTATTGGAGACAATGATGGGGTAGTTATGTGCTTTGGCATGAAGAAAGGAGAAACAGTGGTAAGTGTAGCTTCAATGCAAGTGAGAAAAGCTTTTCTTTCTCTTCTTTTTACATTTATTTTACTGGGGGCCAGTGCTGTGGCATAGTGGGTAAAGCTACCACTTGCAGTGCTGGCATCCCTTATGGGCACTGGTTCAAGTCTCGACTGCTCTATATTTGATCCAGCTCTCTGCTATGGCCTAGGAAAGCAGTAGAAGACTTGGGCCCCTGGATCCACATTGGTGACCTGGAAGAAGCTCCTGGCTCCTGGCTCCTGGCTTCGGATTGGCACAGCTTCGGCCGTTGCAACCATCTGGGGAGTGGACCAGTGTGTGAAAGTCCTCTCTCTACCTCTCTGTAACTCTGCCTTTCAAATAAATAAATAAATCTTTAAAAATATTTACTTATTGAAAGGCAGTTATAGAGAGAGGGAGAGATATGTTCCATCTGTTGATTTACTCGCCAAGTGGCTGCAATGGCTCTGGATGGGCCAGCCTGAAGCCAGGAGCCAGAAGCTTCATCTGGTTTTCCTACATGGGTTCAGGGACCCAGGGACTTGGGCTGTCTTCTGCTGCTTTCCCAGGTGCATAATCAGGGTGCTGGGTCAGAAGTAGAGGGGCTGGCACTCAAACTGGTGCCCTCAGGAAACACTGGTGTTCCAGGAGGCAACTTAACCTGCTACGCCATAAGACTAGCCCCCAACAAACTTTTCTAAATGAAATGTACTACTTGTTGAATACTCCTAGGTTAAAAATTTTTCTAAAATACAGACAAGGGAGAAGGGGTTGTGAAGGCCCACATGGGTGCAAGGGCCCAAGGACTTAGGCCATCTTCTACTGCTTTCCCAGGCCATAGCACAGAGCAGGATTGGAAGTGGAGCAGCTGGGACTCAAACCGGTACCCATGTGGGATGCTGGCACTGCAGGGGCAGTTTTACCTGTTTCACCACAGCACCTGCCCCAAGAGATTAATTTCAAAGAGATGATTAGGGACCAGCCTTGTGGTGTAGCAGGTAAAGCTGCCCCCTGTGATGTTGGCATCTCATAATGGTGCCTGTTTGAGTCCCAGCTGCTCTACTTCTGCTATCCAGCTCCCTGCTAATGTGCCTGGGAAAGCAGCAGAAGATGGCCCACCCATATGGGAGACCCAGAAGAAGCTCCTGGTTCCTGCCATCTGTCTGGTCCAGCCCTGGCTGTTGTGGCCATCTGGGGAGTGAAACAGTGGATGAAAGATCTCTCTCTGTGTCTTTCCCCTCTCTTTCCCTGTGACTGTGCCTTTCAAATAAGGAAAAATCTTTTTTTAAATAAAGATGATTAGGCCAGTGCCGTGGCTCAATAGGCTAATCCTCTGCCTTGCGGCGCCGGCACACCGGGTTCTAGTCCCAGTCGGGGCACCGGATTCTGTCTTGGTTGCCCCTCTTCCAGGCCAGCTCTCTGCTGTGGCCAGGGAGTGCAGTGGAGGATGGCCCAAGTGCTTGGGCCCTGCACCCCATGGGAGACCAAGGGAAGCACCTGGCTCCTGCCTTCAGATCAGCGCGGTGCGCCGTCCGCAGCGGCCATTGGAGGGTGAACCAATGGCAAAAAGGAAGATCTTTCTCTCTGTCTCTCTCTCACTGTCCACCCTGTCTGTCAAAAATGAAAAAAAAAATGATTAAAATGTGAAAATGGTATCTGGTGGACCTAATTAAAGATTTTGATACTTAGGCTTTCCTGTGGATAAGAATATTGCTTAAAACAGTGCTTCTCAAACTTTAATGTGTATAGGACCCAGCTGGGAAATCTTGTTAAAATGCTGATTCCCATTTGGTAGATCTGGTGTTGGACCTGAGATTCTGTATTTTCATAAATTTAGTGATGTTGGGGCTGGTGCTGTGGTGCAGCAGGTTGAAGCCCTGGCCTGCAGCGCCAGCATCCCATGTGGACATGGGTTCAAGTCCCAGCTGTTTTACCTCCAATCCACCTCTCTGCTGTGGCCTGGGAAAGCAATAGAAGATGGCCCAAGTCCTTGGGCCCCTGCACCCACATGGGAGACCCAGAAGAAACTCCTGGCTCCTGGCTTCAGATCAGCTAAGCTCTGGCTGTTGCAGTTATTTGGGGAGTGAACGGGTAATGGAGGACTTTCTCCCTCTCTCTGGCTCTACCCCTCTCTGTAACTCTGTCTTTCAAAGAATAAAATAAATCTTAAAAAATTTAGTGCTGTTAACAGTGATGATTAGTGAACCCTGCTTAGAAATATAAGAGTATAGACTTCAATTAGGTCATTATTATGTATGTAGAAATATTTTCCAAAACAACCCCCTGAAGACCTGAATAGATTTTTACTTTTTTTTTTAAAGATTTTATTTATTTATTTGAGGGGTAGAGTTACAGACAGTGAGAGGGAGAGACAGAAAGGTTTTCCATCTGCTGGTTCACCCCCCAAAATGTCCGCAACATTCAGAGCGGAGCTGATCCAAAGCCAGGAGCCAGGAGCTTCTTCTGGATCTCCACATGGGTGCAGGGCCCAAGCACTTGGGCCATCTTCTACTGCTTTCCCAGGCCAAAGCAAAGAGCTAGATCGGAAGTGGTGCAGCTGGGACTCAAACCAGCACCCACATGGGATGCTGGCACTGCAGGCAGAGGATTAACATGCACCACAGCATTGGCCCCCTGAATAGGTTCTTATCTATGGTTGTTTCTATGTATTAGAACTCTAATATTTTATAAATTTAAAATCATAGTGTATTTTATGGTAAAGGAAAATGCTTACAATAAAGAAACTTGTGTCTTACCGTTTGTTCCATGAATGATGTTTGCAGACTGTGTTCAAGACTTTACCAGGCCTGAAGATCGAGAGGCTGGAACTAGGAGGGGTTCTGAACACACCTCAGGAGAAGATTTTTGTTGCTGCTGGATCTGAGATTAGAGGCTTCACAAAGAGAGGAAAGCAGTTCCTCTCTTTTGAAACAAACCTCACTGAAAGCATTAAAGCCATGTATGTTTATTATTCTCTTTTTTATTTTTACCTATGTATTGATAATATTTTAGATGTAGAGCAACTTATTAACTAACATATCTTAAGTTTTCTGGAAAATAAAATTGACTAAAGTATTTTATTAATCAGAAACTAAGTTTAACCTAGACTCAACACAGAATTGATTGGCTGCTAAAGTGTTGTTTTCTTTCAAAACTTTATAGTATTTATAACTTGCTTCAGTTGTGATTCTTGATCAGGCAATAGAGAAAACATCCTCAGGATATTTAGGTTCATATTCTTTAATTGTCTTTGGTAGCTCTGGGTTTTAGGGAGCAACATTATATTAAAGAGAAATCACTGTCCCTTCTAAAGCTGCCCATCTTCCCTTGAAAGGGAGTGACCCAGTCCTTGCCGGGGTCCACACCAGGGAGGTGACAGCTTTGCTGTAAATTATGTAATGCAATTTTGAAATCTTCATATTAATACTTTTTAAGATTTTCTTTTGATGATCAGTCTCCATGGCCTCCTTTCAGTCCCTCAATTTAAGATATATGAAGGCTTTTGATTTTCCTAGGAGTAGGCTAAGATGTATAAACAGCAAGGCTTACCTAAACACCGACTTGACAGCAGTTCACTTAAAGAGCACACCTTAGAAAGGGTAGTTTTCGATAATCGAAAATGAATCTTGATGTGAATGGAAGGGGAGAGGGAGTGGGAAAGGGGAGGGTTGTGGGTGGGAGGGACGGTATGGGGGGGAAGCCATAGTAATCCATTATTCGTACTTTGGAAACTTATATTCATTAAATAAAAGTTAAAAAAAAAAAGGGTAGTTTTCTCCTATCTATCCAAGAGATGTATACATTATTAAGGTTTTCCCCATGTTCATCATAGAAAAAATACAAAAATAGAAAAAAGTAATGCCTCACTACTCCAGGATAATCATGGTTACAATTTGTATATTTCCTTCTAGTTTTTGGGACTGTATGTTTCATACAAAGTCATATAGAAAAATGTAACAAGCCCTCCTTTTTCACAGTAAAAATGACATATTTTTATTACAGAAAAATTAGAAAAACTATAACATGTAAAAAAATGAAATTAAAATACACAGTTGGGTCACTGACTCTATTGCTGTTTTCTGTTGCTATCACAACACACCTGAAGCTGGGTACTTTACAAAAAGAAGTTTATTTAGCTCACAATTTTTGAGCCTGAAAATCCAAGATCAGGTGGCTCCATCGGTTCAGCTTCTGTTGTGGAATCCCTTGGTGGTGTTGCATCATGGTGGGTGACCTCACAGCAGCATATTCTAGGGGGAGAGAGAACATGGCAAGACATAAGCCAGAGAAAGAGAGAGAGAGAGAGAGAGAGAGATATCTAGGAGTTAGACTCACTAATTTATAACAACTCATTCTCTTGAGAATTAACTGAGGTCCCACAGAACTACATTAATCCTTTCTGAGGGCAATGTCCCCAATGACCTAATCATCTCCCACCTGATGCCACCTCCACAACACCACCCTGAGGGACAAGTGAACTTTCAGAGGACAAACCACAGATAAACCATAGCACTGAATTCCATCAAATTTACTAAATATTGTGAAAAGCTCACCAATAATTCATTTGATAAAGGTGTATATTATGGTGTCTGGAAACACAAAGAATATCAGTACATTAAAGGCTGAGAAATCAAGCATCAAGTATAATTTTTAATTTCAAAATTTCTAAGATTTATTTGATAAAGGATTTCTTTCTTTCTGTCCCCAAACTTACGCCTGTCTCACAGCGATGTGGTGCAGAGTACAGTGTGGGAAATGGATAGTCCCAGCAGTATCGCCTCAGCACCTCCACCAGTTACTCTGGACACTGAAAGGTTATCTGAACAGCCTTTATTCCTTTTTAAGAAACAATTTGGTAAGGCATCTTTATTTTTATTTAATTTTTGATTAACACGTAACTCTTATACAATTTTGTGGGGTAGAGTGTAATATTTCAACACATATACACAATGTAAACTGATCAAACCAGACAGTCAGGTTTTCCACACACACACACACACACACCCTTTTTTTCTTTTTTGCTTTGTGCTTAGCACCTGCCAGTTCCTCTGTTCTAGTTTTTTATAGAGTGTATGTCTTAACAGTTTGTGACTTATTACTCTGGAATATTCTCTGGTTTTACCTCTACTTTAGTCTCCTATGCTCACCCCATTGTTATTTTTGTCTGCGTGTCCATCTCTCTATACCTCCCTAGTAGCAACTCTTAAGTATTAATAAACCCAGACACTCATTTCCTGATTCCAAATATAAATGATTCTTAATAAGAATGGTAATAACAATTGTATCATGAGAAAATCTTGATCGTCGTTGAATCTCTGCCACTCTTTCATGGTGAGTAGTACTCCACTATCTCTTATTACTTTTAAATTCTTTATAAAACAGGACGTCTCATCATATTCTAGTGAGTTTCAACACTAGAGGCTGGAAAGGAATCTCTTTCTTTTGAAAAATTCCAAAGCATTCGTCCAGTTTGCTAATCAGGGTACTGGGACACACATGGTTGTAAGAGTTTGGAGACAGCATGCTCTCCAGCCCTTAGGGGTAGAGCAGGACCATGGTGGGGGCAGTCGCCTCTGGCTACAAGCAACTGCACCCAGTTTGCTCAGGGTGCCTTAGAAGCATTGCCACATTTTATGTTTCCAGAGCATGAAAAATGTTGAAAAGGTAAGGGATGATATGTCCAGAACTATACTGAATAAAGAAATGACAAAATCGTGACAAGAAACATATTTAGTGAGTCCTAAAACATTTTACTAAATGTATTAAACCATGATTCAAAGCATAATTTTAACTTACATGTTTATTTTTTTCTACACAGAATATTTACTTATTTTGTTATGTGATGAGATGCAAAAAGTCACAACTTCCTAAAACTCCTCAAAAGAAAAACAAGCAATTCTCTAGGAGTAGCAGCAGTTTCAAGGTACAATGGGACAGGCTCGGGCAGCTCCCAGGAACCCCTGTGAACTAGAAGGTCCAGGCCTGAGCACACCTGGGTGGGCCTCTGACCTGGGGCCTGGTTTTGGGGACACAATCATCACCAGGATCACATGGCATGGACACAGCAGGCAGAGTCTGCCTCAATTCACGGCATGGAGGAGTCTGCAGGGGTAGAGCTTTCAGCGTCATCAGGGCCTTTAAGCAGAGCCCAGAGAACGGGGTTGGCCCTGGGAGGACATGCCTGGCCTCCTGGAGCAAAACAGGGGTCCCTAGTCTCCACACTGGCCTTCATGCCTGCCCTCTGGCTTGGCCAATCCCAGAGCAAGGGTGGGATCTCAGCAGAGCAGTGTGCATAAGATGCTGCAAGAAGGGCCAGGCTGGAGAAGGACATCTGGACAGGTCAGCAGAGAGTCTGGGTGCAGACAGCTCACCAGCTTGCTTAGTGCCTGGGAACATGGAGACGGCCAGCAGCCTCTTGTATCTGCAAGGAGCCAGGTCAGCTAAGGACTGGTGGGCACAAGCTGCTCTGCAAAATGCACACACACATGCACACTCCCCTCACAGTACCTGAACCCTACTCTGGAGTGGGTGGGGATTGCAGGGCTCACCAGAGGGCACAGGGTAGGGATGGTCCTGGGCTGACTGCCCTGCTCTGATCGCACCCAGCAGGCCTTGAGGGTGCTGGAGTCCCTTCCAGGCGGGATTCGCGATGCCCAGGGTGTAGAGCGCCTGTGCGATGTTGAGCAGAGAGGGGCGATGACGGGGTGCCGCAGGAGGCGCCCATCCATATGTCCAGAGGCCAGCGCGCTGCCAGGTCATTCCTGCGCAGTTCAGAAACTCCGAGCAGCTGCCGTCATCGACAAGACTTCACCACGTCACAGGGCTTCCCGGCCCCCGCGGCTGCACTGCCCGCCACGGCCGGCCAGCAGTGCCACCCAGAAGGGCGACTTTTCCTCGGCGCCTAACGTCCTCGTTAGGTCAGAATGGCAAAGACAGCGCAGTATACGAAGGAGACAGGGACGTCCCTGAGCAGTGCGGCCCCTAGTGCCTTGTAGAGGCCAGCGATGCCGCAGCTCGGAGGGTCCTGGCAGGATGACCATGGGCTGGGCAGCGGCCTGAGCCTCCACTGAGGCCTGGGCGCCCCCCTGCGGCGAAAGCAGGGCCGGTGCAGCCAGAAGCTTTCTCGAAATTAACACCAGAACAAACAAGCTACTGCTTTTTAAACTCTCCAGACTGATTACGTGACACGCAGCAAAGACAGTCTTTTGACGGTGTAGCTTTGTATTTCTCAAACTTACAGGATAATTCCCTTAAAAATTAAATGGCCGTATTTTCAAATTTCAGCTCCTCACCTAGAATGATTTTTGGAGACAAATTCATTTCAGATTAATTTGTAGTACTTTTTAATGATGGAGTATATTTCAGGTAGAATTTGTGTTGCTCAAATAGACATTGTCTTTTTCATAAAGCCATACAAATCCTCCCAGAGTTTGTTATAGCCTGTGTATCCTTTTCCTGGATATTTTTAAATATTTCTTACCCAAATTAGGACACAAAACATTACCCATGAGTCATATGGCCCTCAATTACAAATATTTTAGACTCTTCTATCACTGAGCCCACACAATGCCCTTCTCATTATTTTTTGCTCTTTCCTCTTTGTCCTATTTATTCTCATTTACATCATCCTTCCTGTCAGTGATGTTCACACTAATATATACAACATAGATACCTAGGTATCTGAAAATATGACCATGAGATACAACATATTGTTGTGTTCTCTTTGTGTGAGTGGTTTAAATGTATATAAATTGCTTTGTCTTGTGGAATTCATTCTTCTTATATTTCAAGATTCATCCACATTGCTGTATAAAAAATCATTATTTACTCACCGCTATATATAATGCCATTGGATGTACACACCACACATTCTGATTAGCCATTTCCCTGAGGATGAATATTAAGGCTGACTCTGATACCTTGCCAACACAAATAATGCTAGGATATTACCCTCAGAAA